ATAATTCATCAATGAAACAATGTATCTCTCATTACATTTATATTAAGGCAAAACATTACTTATACTGTGTTTCCTTTGTTTTAATTGCTAGTAAATCCCTGTGAATTCCCAAAATTAAAGCATGGACTCCTATACAAGGAAAACACGTATAGATCATACTTCCCAGCACCGATAAAACAATGGTTCTACTATTCCTGTGATGAAAACTATGTGACTCCTCCTGAAGGTTTCTGGCATTACATTACTTGCACGGAAGATGGATGGACTCCGGAGGTGCCCTGCCGCAGTAAGTAAACCTCTCTGTGCTGTGCACGTGGCAATAGTTCAGAGTTCAGAGAGCAAACATGAGCGCCGCTAAGCCTGTGTGAGAAAAATATGGTCCGGGGAAGAGTTCTATGAGCAGAAAGACCAATACAGCTATTTTCTTCAATGAAAGGTCCCTCATTGAAAACATGGGAGATGAAAAAAAAAGACTTTATTACAATGTTGATATCATTTATTCATAGTTCAATTGTGAAAACTACAGATAAATCATCTTCAATCTTGGTTTTTCTTTTTCTAACACATTTACTAGCAACATTCCGTGTACTTAAGCTGCATGTTGGGACGCTTATGCATTCTAGTTTAAAGATTGTAAAGATGATTTTTAATTCATGACTATGACTACATTTATTCATTTTTCTGATCATTGTGTAATCCCCAGGAAAGTGTGTTTTTAATGATTTGGAACATGTACGTACTCCACCTAAAGAACAAAGATTGTTACAGGGACAGTCTATCAAAATTGACTGCCTTCCCGGCTACAGTCTCCTAAACCCACAGGGCACAGTGACCTGTACGGAGAATGGCTGGTCCTCGCCTCCCAGATGCCTCAGTAAGTGAACCTCCCTGATGTCCAGTCCATTTGCGATTTTCTAAAAGCAGACGTATCGCTGTGGAAAGTTCAATGTGTCAACTCTCAAGGTGAATGCGCCAAGTTTCTTGGCTTTACAACAAAGGCCTATTTCATTTCCTGTTCCAAATGTGTGTGCAAAGTTTTAAATTTTTGAAACAAA